GATGCAATCTATGAATCCATTGGAGTCTCCAACGTCACCATCGACGGGCTAAGAGGTAACCTTAAAACCTATGAATCTACTATTCTAACCCCGTCTTTGGATGAACAAAAGAAAAAGGGGATAGCTCTCAAAGCCACCAAGGAACCGGTGGAAGAGGCTTCAAGCGATGACGACAATGAATTCGGGCTCGTCATCAAGAAGTTCCACAAGTTCATGAAGAAGGAATTTGAGCGGAAGGGAAGGAAGCACGACGGTCCTCCCAAGTGCTACGGCTGTGGCGAGATTGGCCACATCAAGCCAAGGTATCCAAAGGCCAAACACGGCAAGGATAAGCCTGGCTTCAAGAAGCAAAGGGCCTACATCTCTTGGGGTAGCGATTCCGGCGACGAAACAACCGACCAAGAGGAGGACGAAGCTGCAAATCTCTGCCTCATGGCGAACGAAGATCAAAGCGACGACGTCCAAGAGGTATGTAACATTTCTTCCGACTCTTACACTTTTGAAGAAATGCAAGAAGCACTTCATGAACTTTATGAGGAATTTGTTAGTGCTTCTAAAACAAATAAATCCCTGAAGAAACGACTTTCTTTACTTGAAAACGATTTTGAAAAATTGGAAAAAGAAAATGAAATACTTAAAAAAGAAAACAAATTTTTTTGGAAAAAGAAGCGCTGACAAACTAGAAAGCTCATCGAGTGAATGTGGGTCTTGCAAAACTTTAAAAGAGCAAGTCGCTAAACTTGAGAGCACGGTCAAGAAATTTAATACTCCTCACAAAGACTTAAATTTACTTCTTGACACTATGCATTTTTCTAAGGAAAGAATAGGTTTTGATAAAAATAAAGCTAAAGATAATGTTGAGCCACGACCTAGACAATCATCTAAGGTTCAACATAAGAAACCTAAAAAAGAAGATAATAGAAAACCTAGTCAACCGAAGGACACTAGACAACCTAGACTAAAACCTAGGAATGAAAATGGTCATAGTAGACAACCTAAGAAAAATGATTTTGTGCATAAAAATGAATTTTCTCAAATAAGAATAAATAATGCTAGAGCACCTAGAAGAGGCCAATTTCAAAATTTCCAAAAACCATCATTTTTCACAAAATAGGAACAAAATGGTTAAACCTTCTAACTATTATGAACCTAGGCACATGTACAACCCCAATGTAGTTTGCCATTATTGTAATAGGATAGGCCATATTGCTCCCGTTTGTTACACTAGACATAGGCACCTATCACAAAATCAAGCACACTATCATTACACACCTAACACCCGAGGACCGAACGTTAATTGGGTACCTCAAACTCATTGATGTGTTTCATAGGTATGCTTGAAGGCATCAAGTGTACTTTGGTACCTTGATAGCGGATGCTCCAAACACATGACCGGGGATGCATCCAAGTTTCTCCAAATCAAACCCGCTAAAGGAAGAAACGTAGTTTTTGGAGACAATAGCAAGGGAAAAATTATCGACGTTGGTTCAGTAGGTAAATCTGAAAACTCCTCTATAGATAATGTCTTGCTTGTTAAAGGTCTCAAACACAATCTCTTGAGCATAAGTCAATTATGTGACAAGGGAAACTGTGTGACTTTCGATTCAAAATCATGCACGGTAAAACGCCTTAGTGACAATAAGGTCATTCTACGTGGTGATAGAATCGATAACATTTATATGGTTAACTTAGACAAATCTCCTTCCGACTTTGCTAAGTGCCTCATGAGTAAAGAGGAAGACACTTGGTTATGGCACCGAAGGGTAGCTCATATGAACATGAACCTTTTGAACAAATTGGTTTCACAAGACTTAGTAATTGGCATTCCAAAACTTAAGTTT